AAAAAAACAACATTTTGCACGTACATCACGCTTTTTTTTGTACATTTTCTTTGCCGTCACTGCACGACTACCAGGTGAAAATGCTTGATTTCACGTTTTCTGAAGGACGTAAACGTGCAGGCAATCACAAATTTTTCTTTCTCTTTATGAACTTGAATATGGCAGATAGAAATTCAGCTCCAGAAGATTTTGCTTGCATTTGGCAAAGTAAGCAGGGTGGAATAATCACAACAGAGACTGAAAAATGTGAATTCACTGTTCATCCGACGTTTTCGTGGCTGTCAGCTGTCGTGTAAACTCTCTAATATTAACGAAGGCGTGATCGATGCAAGTGTAAATGCCTGTTTTAAGCTCAAGCTTGTATTTTTGGGAAAAGCGTCTTTAGTTTTCAGGTAGACAGTATTTTGAAATGGAGAATTTATATTAATCTGAAAGTTTCTGACTGCGTGCATTTCTTTAGTGCATGAGCCAGACAAGCCGTGATCGAGTCAATAGGGCGGATCCAACGACGCGGACGGCAACGAGAACGTTATTAACAACTGTGCATCACGCTTTTTGTACATTTTGCCCGTTTTTGCACGACTACGACGTGAAAATGCATAACTTCGCGTTTTATGGAGTACGTAAAGAAGCAACGACGAAATTTTATTTCTCTTTCTGAACTTGGATATGGTCCTAGGAATTAAATTCAGGAGGGTTCGCCTACATTTGACAAAAGTAAGTGGGTGGGAATAATTGCGAAAAAGACTGAAAGAACTCAGATTCACTTTTTAAGCGACGTTCTTGTTGCTGTCGCGTCGCTGGATCTTAAAGTCTAATAGCCGTCGTGTACGAATTCACGAAAAGAACTCAGGAGATGCTGTTCGTCGATTGGGCACAATGATACAATGCATTTCTTGTGTCCAATCAGGAGCCAGTATTCTCTTGACCGTTTGAAAATGGTCCGGTGAGAGTCGGTAGCCAGGGGCTTTTCTGCTTGTGCTTGAAAACTTTCGTCGCATCTTTTCTCCCGGCCCGACTGACTACCCCTGGGTCTCCGAGAATGGGTAGTGACCCGTCATCTGTATGGAATTTCTGCGCTCGTTTCTCAGACGTCATTTAACGGGGAAACTAGTGTGGTAGCGTCGCTACATATCTGCTGTTTTCTCAGGTTAAAGACAAAAGAGTATTCAAGAGCAAAACACTTACCGGGCCTGGGTACCTGCCTTTTGGCTACATAGGCACGAATATCCATTGGAGAAGTATTTGACTTTTTAATTACTGGGCACCGCAGTCCATTGTTCTTGTTTGTTGAGAGAATCCCTCTTTTTTTCCAGTCTGTCCAATATAATTTATCAGCGTACAAAGCAAGAGCGAACGGATGTTCCAATGAACACTGGATAGGAGCTGACCTGAGTATGCTCTGACGATCTGAACCATCATAATTGGCTTTGTCTATATAAAATAAACTCGCATCTGTCCAGTATATCTTCTGTGCACTGTAGTCTATTGTTAGCCCGTTGGGCCAATGAATATTTCGTCGGATAATAACCCGACGATTTGAGCCGTCCATTTCAGATCGCTCTAATTTGGGTTCTTCGCCCCAGTCTGTCCAAAACAGATATCTAAAAAAATAGAAACAGACAGGAGGCGATTCAAACACTAACTGATCCTTGGTCTTTGCCTTTAATTTTGCAAGGTTTCATGGAATAAGTGAGGACTAGGACTAAATCCGCTAAACTCAAATAAGAATAGTAAATCAGTTTCTTCGATGTCGGCACCAGAAGCCATCAGGTGACCTTAAGAAACGACGATGACGATGACGACAACAACGGGCATCACGTTTTTTGTACATTTCTTTGACGTCCACTGCACGACTACGACGTGAAGCCTCCCAATACGACGTTTTATCAATGGAGGAAGTGGAAATAATACGACAAATTTTCCCTTCTCTATTTGAAAGCTGCAGGAAGAGTGAATTTATTACGACGAATCCGTTCTAACACTGACACCTTAAGCGCTGAACGAATCTACAGAGCAATGATAATGCCCATATTTACTTATTGCGGTCAAATTACGCTTGGTTGGTCAGAGACACGAAGGTGCCAAATAAGAAACCTGGAACAACGAAGTCGCAGGATTATTCTGCAAAACTCAAAATGTCTAAACTGTGAACTCCGTCTATCCTCAATTGAAAATTTTTTAAAGAAAAAGGCTTGTTTATTTGTTTTTGATTGCCTAAAAGGCAATGTTTGTAGTCCTTTCAAAGATTATTTTAATCTTTTAATCCACGATTTTAATACGAGGAACAGCGGGACCACCATTGCTTTGCCGAAAGTGAAACTTGACTTTGCTCGGAAAAGTTTTTACTTTTTAGGCGCTTCAGCTTTTAATTCTTTACCTTTAAAAATCAAGCAAATTAGCTGTAGGATACTATTTAGGGAGTCTTTAGATCAATTTTCTGTATAGTGTAGTTAGTTAGTTGCGTAGTCATTCTTATCTTATTTTAGCTTTTATCCTTATACTATGTTATTATGACAGGACCCCTTTGATAATAGTGCTCTTGCACTGAAGGGCAATCCTGTATAAATATTCGTTATTATTATTATTATTATTATTATTATTATTATTTTGAAGATGGATAAAGCCCTTAAGAATTCAACTCCAGGAAACGTCGCCTACATTTGAAGAATTGAACGGTTCCAAATGGACGCGATAAAGTTTGAAAGAACGCAAATTCATTTTTTTTTAGTGATTGTTTCACTGCCGTCGTCTTCGTCGTTGCTTAAGGTCCCTATTATTGATGACGTCATCGTGTATCCAAAGATGGTTATGGCCCGGACCGTTGATTGTTTATTCTAAAATTTTAATTCCAAATTTTATAATATGACTCTTGATTTAAAATCTTTTAAATATGAAAAACAGAACTGTTCCTGAAACCTCCTTTACAGTCAGGGCAGGTCAAGCGTACCCCACAAGATTGCATCAATGAATTTATTATTCGAAGGCTGAACCGTTGGTAGTTGTAGACTTCAGTTTTATCTCTACACTCCTGCTTACGAGCAGTGAGGTAGTCATGAAATGTCTGGCAGCTCAGTTTTCTTGAATTTTATGTAAATGTCTTTAAAACAATTTTATCCATTCAAAGATTTTTTAATCTGACCGAATACAGAGGAGCCAGTATCGTGAAAAACTCACGGCTCCTTAAGGAGGAATGCAGATTTGAATTTGAGACTGGTTGAGATTACGACTAACAGAATCATTTTTCAAATAATCTATTCATTAATGCCATCTTTGGGGGTATGCTTGACCTGCCTTGACTATAAGCACATAAGTCCTTCGGAACTCTCGACTTTGTCGCGGAGACACGAAGTCATTCCATTTGGACTAAGCTAAGATCAGTCCAAAACAAAAATCCTTCTGCATCTAGAGGAAATCCACATCAATAAAAATAAACAAATTTAAACAAAAAATTGTGTCAATAGTTTTCCAACAGTATAAAGAGCAGCTTGCAGCAATCAGGGACGCTAACAAAGAGAGTAAGCAATTTGCAAGGACATGTGTATTCGGCAAAATAATATTCAACATAGCAATTAAAAGAATAAGTCATTCTTACCCCAATAACGGATCGACAGCAATTGCCCTTGGAAGACCCAAGTCTTTCCGAAAGAGAACTTTACGACTAGATCCATCTAAATTCGCGACCTCTATTCTATTTGTTACCCATTTACCATCTCCACAATCGGTCCAATAAAGTTTTCCTGCAATCCAATCTACAGCGAGTCCTTCAGGTTTTTTCAAATCAACTGAAATAACATCTTCGACTTCTCCTGTGGAGACGCGAATTCGTTTGATTTTTTTCAAATTAACATCAGCCCAAAATATAATTCCTTCTGCGAAGAGAAAATCCACGCCAATGGCGTCATTTAAATGATCAATTATTATACTTTCATTTCTGGAATTTGCATTAAAGATTCTGATATCCTTTCGGTTGGCGTACAACAGCAGTGGAGCTGTGGAGGAGAATGAAAAGAAGAGAAACGTAGGGTGTCAGTATTGGATTGAGCTATCCCAAAACAAGTATGTGCAAATCGAAGTTAGAGAAAACCTATTTTTAAACCTAGTCTACCGTGATTTTTCGACAACTGGAATGCTACACACATCTTTATTATTTATTCTAGACTTCTAGATTTTCACTTTAGAGACCAGTGTTGGCTGGCGCCATTGTCGTTCCTCACGGGACGATACAGATTATGCTTTTCAGAGCCCATTGCTTTCAGTAAAATGGACTAAGTTGGTACGCAGCAAATTAAGGAAGGAAAGATATTTGCGCAGACAACTCGTTTTGGAAATTCTGACCAATCCTGCCAGAGTTATACTAACACCTAACAGCTAAAAGTAATAACATTCTGGGCAGACATCCACTCTCAATTTCGCTATTCCGGCCTTATACTCCTTCTAGATTATATTTTCCTTTTTCCTAGAAAGTGAGCCAGCCACAATTCCAAAGGAAAAGTCCAAATGTGGCTTATGTGCAAGTTTAATGACGTCAAATTAGCAGGAAGAACGCCTTTTAGTGTTGCAAATCGCATTTGTAGCCATTTCCACGCTCAGCTTGACTTGTATGTATGTTACTGCGCTTTTCACAAACATGCGAACTCTAAAGTTCAAAAGCCGCCTTCACAATTGCGTTTTTTGCTGCGTCAATCATAATTACGATCACAAGCAACGAACCTTGAAACACAGAAACACACAAAACGGATCGAAATTCACCAATCACAAATCAGAAACCATGAACTTTTGAACCCGTTAAAGTAAAGTTTTGTGTCCTAAGAGGTCCGTTAAGATGATTGACGGCAGCGAAAAACGCAATCGTCAGTTGGCTTTTGAACTTCAGAATTCGCATGTTTGTGAAAAGCGCAGTAAGGCTTAGATTCGACGTAAGAATAAGTTTGTTTCAGTCGTAAACTTAGCAGAATTAACATTTGACGTTTTTGATCGTACAAGAGTGACATGTACCG